GACAGCCGACATTGTGCAATTCGGATGGCCAAATCATCCCCGATGCGGAAGGAAAACTTGCCAGATGAGTAGAGTACTTTAGCAACCTCCTAAACCTCCCACTACACACTACCGCACCGATTTCAGCATTAATCCAGTCAGGATATGACGTGGATTGCTCACCGTCATCTGCCAGAGAAATTGCAGACATTGTTCGTCGCCTGAAGAAAAAGAAAGCTCCTGGAGCGGACGGGATGTCAGCGGAAATCTACAAGTCTCGTCTACCAGCCCTCCTTGACCATCTGTAGGAGCTCTTCTGCTGGATATGGAAGACCGAAATTCGTCATTCCTCGTGAAGTATCTCAGTACTACTGCCATTCCCCAAGAAAGGTGACCGAACTGCGTGCAGTAATTATCGCGGAAATGGTCTAATCGGTGTGGATGTTAAAACCTTCCTGGGAATCTTGCTTTCCCACTTTGCCAATGAGAGGAACCTGCGAACGCACCACAATCAAGATGGCTTCCGTTCAGGCAGAGGTTGCACTGACCAAATCTTCAATCTACGTCGAGTACTCGAACACCGCTACCAGTTACAGCAGCCCACGTTTGTGTGCTTCGTTGATTTTCAAGCTGCCTTTGACTCGTTGACTGTGAAGCACTCTGGAGAATTCTACTTGTCGATGACGTGCCGGTTGAACTCGTTAAATTGATGAGATCATACTACCGTTGCAAAAAGGCCCGGATTCGGATCTATGGCGAAGAAACGAAGAAATTCGTCATCAATACTAGAGTCCGGCAGGGTTACCCACTTTCTCCAGTACTGTTCACATCGTAGTCGACTGGGTTATGCATCATGCGCTTGAGGAGCATGGTGATCTTCACTGGAGAAATCAGTGGATCCGTAGCTGTATGGAGCTAGCCACCGACTGCCGCGGTCGGGCAGCTGTAATCCGCGACATTCATGAAGCCGGCTCATCCTGTCGCAGGTGCTACCAGCAACAAAGTAAATTAAGAATGAACTATGATGAAGATAGTTAAGACGAACGTTGCAACTGCCCTTCAATAGTACTCCCAGTCCATCGCAACAAGACTGGACTTTAACGTGGTGCGACGGTTTGCGTACCTCGTCTACCCATTGAACCATACTGGGTGGTGCCCTCGGGCCACTTCAGAGTCACTCCTATCAAGCTGGTCAATAGTTAGAGGTCAGACGAACTCAGTCTTCTGGTCCTCCAAGTTGGTTTGGAAGAGAACGACGTCCATTTATGGACAACCGAAAAGTTACCACATCCGCTGCCCTGCGGGCAGACTTTTGTGATAAACTTTTTGGTTGAGGACCCTTATCATGCTCTTGGCTAGGTCTGGGCGCACTGGCAGTATCTCCATCCACGTACAACCATGACTATTTCACCAAACTTCAACCACATCCTGCATCGGCTGTCGTGCAGATGATCAAGGGTCACCTTATTTGCTACATACAGCAGGGCGGATAAGCGAAAACATGCTACTGCTGGCGCCTCCCTTCTTTCCTTTCTACCTGCCTCTGTTACTGACCGCCCAACTCCATTAATAGCCTTCCTTCTATAAAACCCAGCTTAATTGACAGCAGCCGTAGTGCCACTGCAGTTCTACAATCTGCAGCTACTTTCCGGCACCACACACTGGACAACAATCGCCAACAGCTCCTAATAAGACCACACTGTCCCGTTTTCTTGATTGAGTCCAAGGTTCGCACTCTAAGACAAATAGGTCAACAGAATGGGCTCGCACGTGCGCCGGACACCCTGGGTATGGATGTGTGCTGCGTATCAAAAACTAGGATGATGAATGGCCCTCATGGAATTGTATGAACTGGACCCAGTTTGTCCTCTTACTGTTGGTTGCACGCATCCGAAGAGGCTGATGCGGCAATCACTGGGTAAGCTGAGGTAGGCAACGCTCTCAGTCGCAAAGAGAGGGATTTTATCAATTCACTCATATTGGCAGCTGCACAAGCAAACATGGGAGCATAAGCACCGTAGTCAGATCAAGTATTGCAAAATCTAGGAGTGCTATCTTGAACGTGAGAGACCCGGCGTCATAAACAGGTATCTCTCGGTATGCAAGCTCGTGTTTACAAGGCCGAATGGCCGGCCATACTACCCTTTGGTAGTGAGACATAGCCCCTACGAACAGGGCTGGAAGTGAGAGACCAACCTGGCTAACTGGAGTGAATCAATTGCGGTGGGAATATAAAGGAGCAGTCACACCAATTGTGTTAACCACAGGGGCATTAGCCTAAAGCCGGTGGTGACAATATTACTAGCCACAATTCTCGTCTGTCGCCTCATTGCAGAACGGGAATTCCGGATTAAGGAAGAGCGAGCACGTTTCCGCTAAGGAAGGGGCTGTATAGACCACATGTTCACCCTGCGACAGGTGCTAGAGCAGTGCTCCGAATACAACAGACCGACTGTGCTTTTTGACTTCAAGAGCGTGTTCGACTCAGTCGATCGATGCATTCTGTTCAAAAGACCTGCGCGGAAAGTGTTCCCATGAAACATCTGAAGATTTTACGTGCTCTGTACTCGAACAATACAGGGTTTGCGGTGATTTGTCGAATATCTATCCGATAACAAGTGGCGTTCGTCAGGGTTGCCCGATTTCCTCATTTTTGTTCAACTTCGTCGTGTAATCCATCCTAGAGTGTTCACTTGAGGAAGCTTACGATGCAGGTGTTAAGGTGCTACATGGTTCAAGGCTAGTTACGCGCACGATATTGTCTTGCTGTTTAACGATGCTGAGGTAGCCTAGTCAAGTCTGAAAAACATCACTAGAGTCGTTCCCTCATTTGGTATACACTTTGCACCTTCAAAGCAGTGTTGTTACAGGACAACCAGCCATTTGATGACTCCTTGACCCTTGATAGCGAGGAACTCGAGGTAGTTGATCGATCCACTTGATAGCTGCATCAGCAAGCATGGGCGCATAAGCACTGAGCTCAGTTCACGTATTGCAAAAGTCAGAGCTGATCCTTTGAATCTGCGACAGGTGCGGTGTCAGAAAGGGGGTTCTCTCTGTTTGAAAGACTGTGTTTACAAGGCCACAGTGAAGGCCGTGCAACTCTATGAGAGTGAGGCTTGACCACTTCGGTCTGATGATCTGAGACACCTTCAAGTCTTTGATCGCTGTCGTCTACCAAGCATTGCGTCGTCGAGTGGCAGCATCGTGTCCGTAACGATGATGTGCGTAGGCAAGTGCTACGCAATGATACCCAACATAATTGCCTAGAACAACAGACAGCACTGAATAAGTTGTGTTGGCTTGGGCACGTTCTACGTATGCCCGATCAACGCTTACCGAGGAGAGCCTTGTTTGGTCTGCCAGATGTAGGGTAGCACAAAGCTCGAGGTGGACAAACATTGACTTGGCAACGGGAAGTGAGGTCGCTGACGACCAAACTTGGTGCCATCGATCCGTTTCGCCTTCCAGGCTACAGTCTACACGACTCTCTTTGTGCTTGGCTCGAGACTTTACAGGATAAGGATTGCAGTTGACATCTGTGGCATGCCTGTTGTGGTCTCCTAGTCGGAGTGCCTATTGAACGTGTGTTTGGTGCTGAGTTATCTGCTGGGTAATGGCTAATTATGACGCAGGGCAGTGAAAGCCGCAAGGAAGCTATCTCGCTGACGCCACCTTATTATTGCACGACAGCCGGCTGTTAGTGGTGGTATATTGTTGACAAGATTTAGGCGCCTTGACCCTGAATGTTTACTTAGGGCATCAAGGTTTACCGCTAAGTTCACCTTCACTCCCTTTATTAATCTTCGTTCTGTAATTCATCGTGGTTGTACGGCAGCGAAGCATCAGTTCAAACGGCTGATGTACTGCTACTGTTGATGACGATGGTGACTACTTCCATTATCGACACAACCGTTGACAGACATATCCTCTACTTCCTGCACTCGCGCAAGTAAGGTGTATTGCCGATAAGGCGACGCATTGCCGTCCTTGAATAATGATTGTGTAAAAGAACTCGGGATGACAACAGTGAAACGATTAACGGATGAGACCGCGAAGTAGTTCAAAAAATCTAGGGCGCCGAAGATCGGCGATGTAAGGGAACAGTAAACGTATAATTCACGGGGGAAAACAGATAGGCTTGCCAAGCCGTGGGCCGAGACAGATTCTTGTTGAGCAATTTCTCTCAAGTAAAGTCGGTAGGGAGTATAGCATTATTAGAAGCAAAACACATGCTTTAGAACGAGCGACACCCAAGAATGAAGCAACGCTCTGGTGCTCACAAATGTGATCAGTACTGAAGCGGTTAAGGCACCTGTTACAAAATAGGCACTCCGAATTCGAGCCACTACTGCTACCCAGATTTGGGAGCTTTGCTGGTGTTTCGGCCCGCACACAGCTGTCTGTGGTCGAATGTTAGTGAGACGACGGTACAGAGTACCAGTGCTGTCGATAGTTCATTGTTTTTTCTTGACAATCTAATGGGGGGACTCCAGGCGCTGGCTGGTGGACAATCTGCTCGAAAGCATCGTAGGTCGACGATCGGCGTGTGACCGTAAGACCAAAACAACATTCCAAACTAAATTGGCGTCTGAAGAGCTTAAATGACCGGCATGCATATTCATAGCCAAAGCAACCAGAAGCACATCAGTTGGTTGTATCACATAAAAGCGCACCAAACCTGCGGCAGAATATGCAAAGCTTGACTGTACGCAGCTTGTAGAAAGGCAATTATATGCTTTTACAGAAACCGGTGTCTCGCCAGCTCCAACCTACAAACTGGAGGGACAGGAGGATGACTTCGTCCGAAGTTTAGTCGTTAATGAACCTGGTATGAGTATCTCCCAAGGGGCCCCATGGCACCACACAGCATGATCCAATGGGTCGAAGAGGCAGGTAAGCAGCCGCAGCAATTTAAGCCCCAGCCTCGTCGCGACGAGACCGGAATAAACGGGCTACGTAAGCACTTAGTGTGTCTAAGCAAAATGAGAAACGGAAATGTGGTCGAATTATTAACTTGCCTCAAAGTTGTCTCTGTAGCGACAGTTGCAAGCAGTGCGTATGCCTGTTCCGACACCTTTAAACCCTCTGTTTGGGCGCGAATGCGAAGAATCTGAACAACATCATCGGACGAGTAGGGTAGCGTGCGTATTATCATAACACGATCCAACAAGTCAAGTGGGATACCATGAGACGAAACAATATCCTCCGTTCCTCTGGACGAAAAGTTTAGAAGAGAGAGAAAAGTAAAGCCGCAATATGCAGAGGCAATTAAGTTGAAGCGGATTTAACATGATTGGGCTCAGATCATTGCGACTTGACTACCACGACTAGCACTCATAGTTAAAAGGAGTGGTCAAATAAGCAGACGCAAATATCAATCTAAGTACATCAGATGGGAGAATCGAGGTTGGAGTATCGGCAATCGGTTTGGCATACAACGACAGTGTTTTTGTTGCCTCTATCAGTGTATGTGCGAGATCATCGTCACTCATATACTATAACAAACGAGAAACAAGTAACCATGAACTAGGAGAGGTTATATCTTAGGTTCTGGTACAAATTCGGAATGAGCGGCCGAGTGTATAGAAACGAAGTGATTAACCATAACGTCCGTAGTTGGATTCAGAGTGGCCGAGCAGTCGCTTATGTAGCGTGAGTGAGAATAGGTAGGGGCACATAGAGGAGCCGGGGAGAAATTTCCGGAAAAAATGCCCACTACCCATAGAACCCAAAACATGACAGTGGACGGTAAGCCAAATATCCCGATTGGGACTTTATATAAGCATCAAGGAGGCCAACCAAAAGCAAGTGATGACCTAAAGGAGGATATGCTAACAACAAGAAAATTCACAATCACGTAGATGCTTGCTCCAGTTTGCGTAAAGGGCTGAAGTGTCACAAGGGTGAATGAATTTATCCCAGACAGCGTGGAGGACAGATGGTTTGGTCTGCTTATTCTAAAACAAATGGCCAGGATGATGACTGCAAGCAATGCAACAATCATTAAAATTGGTGAATCTGTTCAATTCCTGGGGCTGGCTGAGAGAATGTAAGGTAACCTGACGCTTGAACAAAAAGTATCTGCCATCCAAATGGCAACTGCTGACTGCTAGGACGCCAGAACAACAGCGTCTGGAGGGTAAGAATAGAAGCGGTTGTAGGTTACACCTTAGTGTAGGCTAAGAGCCAGTGTGACGGTATAGCAACCTCGGTTCGGCAATAGAAACGGCAGTAGCTCAGCACTGAAGAATATGCATGCAAGAGAAGCAGGGAGAGAAGTTCGTCTCACACAAATAATTTAGTCGAAATAAATGCATGTTGTATGGATTTACATAAATTGAAGGACCTAAATGCATATCGAAGCATGCTTACCGAATAGTACATTTCCCACGGTTGGTGGCAAAAATAACGATGGGGGCAATCGTAGACTCCAACGCACGATGTAAGTAGGTGAAACACTCGATGTCCAGCATGTGAACCTCGTCAATGAAGAGAACGCCAGGCACGAGTTCCGCGATTCCCTGGTCGATATATTTGTTCACAACCTTGTTAATTTCCTTTCGTAGCTTGTCTGATGATTAAAAAAAATAAAAAACATCTTAGGAGAATCATAAACAACTAGCCGACGTACTACTGCTCTATGGAAGTAAGCAGACTATCGAACTAAGGCAGTCAGTGAAAAATTGTAAATATGCAGGTAATTGGAGTGGTTGCAAACTATTACCTCACTACATTTTGAAGAAATCAAGTAAAACAATAAAAGAGAACCGTAACTACCTGTGATTTCCGTCTTTTTTGGTTTCATCAATTGGCCCATCATCGATACTATATCTTGGCCACCTTGAGGGCGAGCGTTCGCAACGTCCAAATCATGGAGGGTCACATCCTGTACAACTTCTTTCTTCTTATGAACCTCTCCCTTTGGAAGCGGGACGTACTCGTCAGCCTCTAAGTCATATTCTGCAGTGTAAACATCACATCGGCCTTGTCTCTTAACAGCCCCGGAGTTCGCCTCAATATAAATCACGTCCCCAACTTCAACGTGTTCTTTCTGTAGGCTTTCATAAATGCATGGATCAAGTTTAAGTTGTTTCACTCCTTTAGCAGTGCGCAGACTGATGATCACGTGACTAATTGTCTTCCCCAACCCTAAAAATAAAGTTGAAAAAAAACAAAAAATACCTCCAGTGGGACTCTCGGTCTCGACCGGTGTCAATTCGGTAACCTCACCTTCGTAGACTTCTTTTATCTCTTTGATGCGCAGGCCTGACAAATAATGATTGATAGATACACCTACCGATTGCCCGCCGGAAATGTTCCATGAGGACTTCAGTTTTTTTGATTTCAGAAGAATAGACTTCACTTCCAACCATCGGGCAAAAAGGGACCTTGCTTCCAAGTTCCTGAGCAATAGCCAAAGCAATTGCGGTCTAGCTGATCACGGTATGATCGAAGACGCTCACCTTGCCTGTTCCCGGAGGGCCGGCCATTAGGACAGCTCTACCCGCCATTTTCTTTGACCTTATCATTTCTACAACGATGCCCGCAGCCTATAATATAGGGCTGTAAGCACAGAATACCTACCTCACGTGCACACTCTTGCCCAACCAAACCGGCAGCAACAGAGGCTGGAACACCATTCTCATCAAGTCCCAGACCTTTAATGTGTGTGTGGGCAGCTATCCGCTGTGCCTTTGAGGTGCTGCGTACTTCTTCAATGCGCATCACAGTTGGAGTCAGAAACTAATGAGAATGGGGATGGTATGAGTTTCTTCAGGCCCAGTTAACCTATAAAATGGTCAAGGTAGTAGTCACACGTAGTACATTGATTTACGATACCACAAAGACAAGGAGGCGCAGTGGTGAAGGTAAAAGCGAACCGAATGATTACATCAAGGCGATGGCATGTGATATTCGCCTTAAAAGTTTAGCTCACAACTGGTGGGAACACCGCGTGAGCAATGAGCAGGTACGACGGCGCGTATTTGGTGCGGGAAAAGCGAGTAAACAGCTCAACACCGTCATACCACGTATCAGGCTACGATGGCTGGGCCACGTGGTGCGCATGTCAACACACCGACTCCCGCATCGTGCGTCGTTTGCGCGCCGAGGGTGTGTATGGAAGAAGGGGAGGCCAAGCGAAAGGAAGAAAAACTCACTTCGATCCTGGTGTCGGTTGATGTTTTCAGGCATGATGAACACGTTTGGCTGGATACAATTGTTGACATGGTGAAGAGCCGACCTCCTTGTCCTCCCCACTCTTGATTAGCTTCCCCCTCCAAGGACGTCTTCACTCCTGATGTTTAATATGATACTAAGCATCAGGTTATATTTTACAAATATCTTTTTGTATCTCAACATATGAGCTGAAGTGTGTTTCTCATCTTCAGCTTATGTGTAATGATGCTAATGAATGATGACATGTGAGTTGGCAGTTCGAAACCTTGCTTATCGTGGACACGCCAAGTCCAGGTTCTTACCTATGACCCTTGCGTTAACTGGGATTACAAATGCTGAAGTTGTCAACGAAATGGAAGTGTGATAGCAACGACGAACTCAAAATTATTTCTCAATCAGATGACTAGCGCGTTGCTTCGCAACAGTTGCGAAGACTGAGTTCGGTGAGATATATCCATAGCCAGATTCACCTCCAGAGATTCATCGTATACCTCGGAGGATATCTCAGGAGCGGTGTCGGGAGAAAGTAAGAATTGCCTAGAAAAACCAGTATTTTAACGATTAATCGATTATTCATCATCGTCATCGTCATCATTATACACGTCAGCTAGAGGTTGAAAACACCTCAGCTATTGTGCCGCAATACATAAAGGAAAAGGAAAATAAATACAACAGTTGCATGCCAGCTGAGCTACCAGCAACGGTTGGGCATCGCTCCCGTAAGCTACCAGCCGGTTATCAGGCAAAAAGAAGAATTATTAAGTTTTACGCTACGAAATGAGAACGCAGATGGAGGGGGAGGCAAAAAGGGATGGGGAGGGACAAAGAAACTCACAACACGAATGCTACAGAGGTCCACTCCTTGCCATGTCAGCAAATGTATCCAGCCAAACGTGTTCATCGTCTTTTGGACCCCAACCAGGGAGCCGTGACGCTCCAACCGAGGACAGCTCCGAAGTTAAGGCCTTCATTCTCCTGGACCAAGTCATCACTTGGCCACCCCTCCTCTTCTTCCATCCACATCCCCGGTGAGTAAACAACGCACGTCGTGGAAGTCGGTGGGCTGGCATGCGCAACACGTGGCTCAGCCATCGGAGTCTGGTGTGTGAAATGACGTGGTTGAGCTGTTCAGTTCCTTATACTGTGCCGTAAACAAGGCGTCGAACACGCTCGATACTCACGTGGTGTTCCCACCAGATGTGAGCCAAACTGCGACGGGCACCGATGATCGAACGTAACTAGCCTCTTTATGTCCGCCGATCTTAGGGGCCAGATTTCTCAACCGTACAGTAGGGTTGAACGTACCGCTGCAATGTACACTCTACCCTTCAGGGCGAGAGTAATGTCGAGCCGCCACCATAAGTGGCGAAGGTTAGCAAAAGCACTTCGAGCTTTTGCTATACGGTTCGTGATCTCGTCTTCGATCCCAAGAGCGCTGATACAACTTCTCAGGTAGTTGAATTTCCGAACGACTTCTAGCTGATCCCCACCAACGGTCAGCGCAGGAGGCGATCCCTGCCAATCTTGGAGGAACGCTTTGCATTTCGATGGTGCAAGGTAAAGCCCGAAGCGGCTGACAGTCAGTGCTAATCTGTCCAGCGCGGCTTGGCACGTCTGGGAGCTGTCACAGATTAGGGCAATATCATCAGCATACTCTAAGTCAAGAAGTCGTTCTCCTGGGAGTAGCTCCACACCTTCTAAGTCGTGTCCTGTGAACGCGATTTCCATGACTTCGTCAACAGCGAAGTTGAAGAGGAAAGGTGACAACAGGCATCCTTGTCTTACACTGCTGGAGATATTGAAGAGTGGCGACAGCTTGCCGTAAGCTCTCACTCTGCCCGTGCAACGCGCGTATAATGCTCGGATAATATTCACATATTTCTCAGGCATACCTTTCCTGAGTAGACAATTCCAAAGGGCACATCGATCAACCGAATCGAACGCACCTTTGATATCGAGGAACACGACAACGGTGGGCTGCCAATATGTGTGACGGTGCTCCAACAACTGACGCAAGGTGAAGATATGGTCGATGCAGCCACGGCCCCGACAAAACCCGGCTTGCTCCTCACGAATCTTGTTTTCACGAGCGCCAGTCAGTCTATGAAGAAGTATGGAGGCGAAGGAGATCAGACTAATTCCTCTATGGCTGCCGCATTCCGAACGAGAGCCTCCTTTGAAGATGGGAACAATAACGGAGCGGCTTCAGTCGGTTGGGACAGTCTCCTGCTCCCACAGTTTCACTAGTAATTCATGTAAAGCATCTACAAGAGCAGAGCCTCCGAATTTGAAGAGGGATGGAGGAAGATCATCTGGTCCCGCGGCTTTGTTCAACTTCAACAGTCCGATCTCACGTTCGACTTCTGAGCGAGAGGGTGGATCCAAAGGGACAGCCCACGGAGCAGGGAGATCATTGACCAGTGAAGAATCGAACAATTCTACCCGATTAAATTGCATTTCGAAATGTTCAGCCCAACGCTCCAAACGTTTTGACAAATTGTGGACAGGCTGTCCACTCTCGTCACGTATAGTTTTACTAACACAAGGTCTTCTGCTGCCCATTTCCCGTATGAGACGGAATAACTTACGATGGTTGCAAAGGGCAGCGGCCACTTCCATCGCTGACGCACGATGAGACCACCAAGATTCGCGGTCTCTCTTCAGGCTAGCACAGAGTCTTTTTCGGAGCTCTTTGCGAGTTTCATTGTGTTCACTTCCAGCCGGGATATGCCGGCGAGCGTCGATAAGTTCCGGAGACTGCGAAGAGACCCAATGTCCATGTTGGCTACTAGACATACCACATGAGGAGTTACCTGCTGCTAGTAAGGTCTGGTGAACATGTGACCATCAATTGTCTCCAGTGAGCGCTTACTCAACTCGCATGTCAGCGTACTTCGATACGCATTCAGAACAGCTGGCTTTGTCAGTTGTCTGGTGTCAATGCGCTCACAGCGTCGTCGTGGGCGTCCGCCAAAACGCATCCGCATGTCAGCACAAACAAGTGCATGGTCGGTGTCAACACCTGTGTTCCAAATCGAGCGACAGTTCTGGATGCAGCCTCTCCAGCGGTAACTAATAGCAATGTGATCGATCTGCGTTCAAGTCTGGTGGGCGCCAAGTCACCCTTCGGCGGGTGCTGTGTCTGAAATTAGTGCTGGTAATAAATAAGCGAGCATCCTCACACAAATGAAGTAACCGCTCACCGTTATCATTACGGGAGCCTACACCGTGCTGACTGCCCAGATGCATTTCATCAGTGGACAACTTTCCAACTTGTGCATTCAGATCCCCAGCCAGCGCAACAGTGTCCGAGCTTCTTCTGTGGCGAAGGAGCTGGGTCAGTTGGCGGTAGAAGTCGTTCTTTACCGAATCATCGCTAGAGTTTGTGGGTGCGTAGGCAGCGATGATGTATAGATACCTATTAGTCCTGCGCGACTTCGAAGCTTTGAACGAGCCAGCCAGTCGGACCGCAAACATCCGGCTACTGATTGGAATCCAATCAACCAGAGCAGCTTCAGCCCGGGGACTCAGGGCAATACCAACATCGGCTTGGCCGGTGCTCGAAGCTGCATCGTCACCGGATAGGCGAAATGAGAAAGTGCTGCTGGTGTCGCCTGAAAGGGATCGTAAAGTGAGTACAGAGCTCGAGTCTCGCAGGCAGGTCTCCGATAAGCAGCAGATATCGATTATTAACGAGTATCGCATCGATTTGGAACGTTCTGGAATGTTCTAGTTTCTGCACGTGACTAAAAACCACCTAACACCTCGGCCAAATCTATGGGGAACCACTAACACTGGTAGCTGACCTTCCAATTCTAGAAGTCGTAGGTCAGTAAGAGGCCTATAAATAGATCCAAGGTCCGCGGTAGTTGTAGTGTTTGTTGACGGTGATTAATCGTTATTTTGCCAAGGTCATTGGCGTTCTGCGTTTTCCTTCGGTTGGGCTGGAAGTTTTGTGGAGCGGTAAAGTGTCAGTTTTGAAATCGCGTCTAGTGAGAAGATTATAACACACTGGATGCTGGAATGTCAGAATCCTGTTGGAGGTCGGCAGCCAAGCGTTGGCCATGCGCGTACTACATGACTACCATGCCTATCAGAATCACGAGTACCCGGCTATGGCTCTCGACAAATCAAAATCCCTAGTGTAGACACCTCATATTAGATTTACCACAGTGGGCCGGAAGATAATTCTGGCAATCAAGAGGTCGCCATGGTTCTCAGTTGCCAAGCACAATATGCTCTCCATCCATGGAAGCTAGTATCAGCTAGAATAGTAGTTGCACGCTTCAAAAGTCCCCTGATGGATCTGACCATAATCTCTGTCTACACACCAAGCCTACCCTCAGCGGAAAGTGACAAAGAAGAATTTTACGATACTCTATAGCCAGTAGTGAACCATGTTCCAAGACGCGACATCCTCGTAATTGCTGGGGATTGGAATGCACGAACCGGTCTTAGGAATGACCAAACCCGTCACATACTCGTGAGATACGTGCTTGGAATGCGCATACCTTCGCTGACCTTAACCGGTCGTGCGTAACCAATACTCACTTCCAGTAGCCCAGGAAGAAACTTCTGACGTAGTACTCCAACGATGGTCGTACAGCAAGC